TGACAACATTACTCACTCTGGCCATATGGTAATCAGGTACATCTGGTCTGACGTGAATAACATGAGTATAGTCCATGACTGCCTCTTGCAACTATGAAAATACACAACAATATTACACTTCAATGGAAAAGAAAGTATCACAAATGTCAACGTTTTAAAATAATCTATTGTTACAGAAATGCCATATAAGGGAACCTACTTCAGGATTCAACCATATAAGGTAATATGTTTCCATATTTGGTACTCACCATTCCAAGCTTCTGATAGGCCTCAGCTCTGCATATACGAGCTCTGATATACGTAGGGTCGACGTGGATGGCAGAGGTATACTGACGGATAGCCCTGTGTATAAATAACATATCATGTACAATTGGACGTTATTCCTACTTTACGGTACAACATTTATGTACAGTTATTTATTGACATTAGTAGATTTTGTTCACAGTTGGACAAACTTATTATAATCCTATAAATATCAATCGATGTATACTGCAAACTTCTTGAGAACTACATGTAACCAATTAGATTAGACGCGGCAAAAGATCGACGTCTGAARCGGGCCTAAAAGCAACAATGMATTTCGTCCTCGAATASAYAATATAGTATCACRATATTCAGKKTTTTTTTGACATAGTATAACAATCTCTCTGTACCTATGGTAATTATTGTACTTGGTTATGTAGATAAGACCGATATTGACACGAGCACAAGCCAATGTGGGATCGAGTTCCAATGCTGCCTCAAAATCTGGGATGGCATCCTCCCATCTAATAGTAACAAAACCACAAACGTAAATAACAAAAAAATCCGTCATTTTTTASTATGCCATTAATTATCATGCCGGGATGAATAGCTCAAAGAGGGGGTACGAAGTGGGTTTGGAATGGGTTTGAAAACTTAAGGGTCTACAAGAGGATTTGAGTGGTRATTAAAAGGAGTTTGGGAAGAGTGTTTGAGAGGTTTGGAAGGAAGTTTTAGGAGTTTGGAGCAGATTTTGGGAGGGTGTTGAGGACTGTTTAAAACGTGGTTTGAGGGGGGTATTAAGGGGGTTTGAGGGGGATTTTTGAGTGGGTTGTTTGAGAGGTTTGTGAAGAGATTTTCAGGGCTTTGAAGCAGTTTTTGGGAAGGTGTGGTTTGAGTGGGGGTTTCAAGGGGGTTCGAGGGGGTTCAAGGGGGTATGTACCTCTTTAAATCAGTGTATARAATACMRCGGTGTAAAAAAGCATTGRCATTATTGATGGTRMAGYTTTTGGGWRKGTGTTGAAGACTGTTTAAAACGTGGTTCCCAGGAGGTTCAAGGGGGTTCAAGGGGGTTTATACCTCTTTAAATCAGTGTATAGAATACCACGGTGTAAAAAAGCATTGACATTATTRATGGTGCTGTCAAGAAGAAGAGACACACTAAGGTCTTGAAGAGCTCTTCGAGGGTGAAGCCTATAACAAAGAAATCATAATAATCATAAGATTCACCATTTCTGCGGTTAAAATGATTATTTCTACTCACTTTCTTAATATGCAGGCTCGATGGTACAAAGCTACGGCATTATCGGGATTATAATGAATTGCAGCGCAGAAGTCACGAAGAGCGTTATCAAACTGACCCTGTAGAACAACAAATCTGATTGGTTGGTGCTCATGGATGGTATAACATGAGTTCTGATTGGACAATTGTACATGCACAAGAGCTCTGTGATTGRCTAATGTATAGAGAGGCGAAACGTGCACAGAATGAAAGAAATGGATTATTTTTATTACCATTTTCTTGAATACCCGTCCTCTATATGTATAGGCAAGGGAGTCGACTGGGTCTTGCTGTAAGATCGCATTGAAATCATTGATGGCACCATTCCAGTTTCTAGAAATAAGCAATCATTGATAATGGATCAAATAATGACAATTGTGGTAATGATAATGTTGATGATGATTTTGATGATAATGATGATGATGATGATGGTGATAATGATGATGATGGTGGTGATAATGATAATGATGTTAATGATAATGATGATGAATATAATGATGATGATGTTGATGATGGTGATGATGAATATAATGATGATGATGTTGATGATGATGATGATGATGATGGTGGTGGTGGTGATAATGATGATGATGATGATGATAATGATAATGATGTTAACGATAATGATGATGAATATAATGATGATGATGTTGATGATGATGATGATGACGATGATAATGATGATGATAATGATGATGACGATGATGGTGATAATGATGAATTAATGTTCACTAAAGAGATCCAAACATACTCATGATCGAAGTGGAACTTGCCAACTTCAAACTTAGCTTCGGTTCGACTGGGAAGTAGCTTAGCTGCGATATTGTAGTCTTCTAATGCAAGTAGCATATCACCACGCTGAAGATAACACGGAAAAAAACCATTAGAAGTAGCATATAATAGTCAGTGGACTATAAATTCATATCATGACATCTTACTTACCAATTTAAACATATTGGCGCGCTGGTAATACGTTTCGACATCACTAGGGTTGAGCTTAATGGCCTGTAGAACANATCACAGAGGTTTTGACCATGAAACAATTGCAAGTCCTCTTGCGTTTGCACTTGCTTTTGCGACTGCTCTAGCGTCGCTAGTGAAAACCAGGCTTTAGGAAACAGCAGTTTGAACTTTTTAATAATTGTATTATAAATTGAATGATTTCCATTAACCTGTGAGTAGTTGACAATTGCCATTGTAGCATCGCCAAGCTGACGGTAGAGCTCCGCTCTGCATGAAATTGAAAATTGCCTTATTAGGACCTCTTCATGATTACTTAATCTAACCACCGAAGAGACATCGAAAAGTGTCCGTATTAACGTGTTGTCCGTGTTAACGGGGTCGCTGTGGACCACCGAAGAGAGATCGAAAAGTGTCCGTATTAACGGGTTGTCCGTGTTAACGGGGTCGCTGTGGACCACCGAAGACATCGAAAAGTGTCCGTATTAACGGGTTGTCCGTGTTAACGGGGTTGCTGTGTTAACCTGGTAAAAATTCGCCAGGACTTTGTTCGTTATGATGGTGTGGCCGTCTTAGCGGGTGTCCGTAAAGCGGGGTTCTACTGAAGGCTTACTAACCTTGATCTGTAAGCCCGTGCAGAACTCCCATTGATTTTAATGATGAATGTCAAGTCATCAAGAGCAGCCTGTTCAACAACAATCTACTTTAAAAGAATTGAAATAAAGAATGGAGAAGTAATTGACTTTTTTACCTTTTTATTGTTCTGGAGTAAGTGAAGTAGATGTCTGTGCCAGTATGCATCTAGTAACAGACTCTCTAGTTCAATAGATCTGAAAAAAAAG